TCTGTCTTCTTGCCACCCAACGCACTGCGCATGCGCACGCGCATGTAAACAAAGATCCTCCTATTGCTCGACCTCCCCCACAAGCTCGGGCTCCTTCCCCCCCAGTGAGGTGACGTTCCACGTCCCAAGAGCCAGATGTTGTGTGTGTGGACTGGGTCGCCGAGGTCTCCGCCTTCGACTGCTGCCCAGTCCTCAGCACCGCGCCACCACGGACTCTGTAGGTGGTGGGCCCACAGGAGGGACTGCCCACGTCGTTCCTTCGGGTTGAGCCCGGCCGGGCCCCGTGGGCTAAGGCCCGGCCACCAGGCGCTCGCATACGAGCCCCGACCCCAGGCCTGGCTCCAGGGTGGGGCCCCGGCTGCGCCATGCCGGGCGACGTCACTGGTCTCATTTTAGTGCTGTCCATGGTGGTTTTTGGACCGCTTTTCGTCTGACTCGTGACTAGTTTGAATTGTAGATTTTAATTAAGCCAACAACTGTGAGTAGTAAGCAGATCATACAACCAGAATGGCCTTTGGTCGATGGCGGTCCTTGTTGGGTCTTGATGGCGACGGATGAAGGCCTTGTTCATGGGGCCTAGACCATGAGGCTGTATCATGTGGCTGAACCACGTCCTCCCACGACCCACAGTCTAGGAGCCACAGTTTAGCAACTTCTTCAGGTTGAAGCTGGAGACTATTGAAGGGTTGTGGAAGTCCTCTTAGGCTGAGTTTACACGGAGACAATGTGGCAGTAAAACGGTATAGTTGGATGTCGGTTTCTACCAACCGTTCATACGAAGACTGTGTTTCAGGGGGGTGAAAACCTAAGTGTTCAGATCCAGCCTGCAGAGTGGGACAACTCAGATACGCTGCACAGTGGGGGCTCTTTCACACCCGCGAGAGGGGAAAGGTGTGAAATCCCCCTCTGCTCTGACCCCCACCTCCGCGCTGCTCCCCGCACGTACATTTAGACATGCGCAGTAGCGGAGAACAAACATAAACAACAATGGCGGCGGTCGCACTAACTAGCTTCGTGGGCTTCCAGCGCTGCACAGAGGAAGATTCTACTCCTTCGTTCGTCCAAACGAGACCACGCGAAGCTCTAGGTTCAGTTTCCATTTTCACAGCTGCTGTTAAAATGCAGAATGATGTTGGTGCGCTCTGAGGGTCTGGTACAGGAAGTGAGTACACTGCCGAGAGGGAGGCTGGGCACGGGGCTGGGGGTCGTGTGAGTGTTGTAAAGTTTCTCTGCCCACTACTGGCCGGGCGCTAGAACTACATCGTTTTTCAACCTCATGTGAACGCTGAGAAATTTGCATTAGGAGCCTGGTCGTTTCTGTTAATAGCCTGGAAACGTCTGCGCAGCCTCTCAGTATAAACAGGGCCTCAAACGTGGAGCTAAGGTTTGAACCCATCTTGGAGGCCCAAGGCCCAGACAACAAAGGGTGTTGTTACTCCAAAGCAGACTGGCTTCTGTTCTGTGGATCCTTGCATATCTTCACATCTTGAAGAGTCGTTGGGGGAAGGGTGTTGCCATGGCACCTATCTTAAGGCACACTTACCCACAATAAGACCTGAACCACAAGGATTTACACACAGTGGAGACAGAAGTTATAATATGTCTCAATATACAACAAAATGTCTTTGATAAGGAAAGAGGTCATTTTCATTCCTCCTACATAATATTAAAATATTTTTGTTCATTATTTGACTTGAATAATCAAATTGTAATCATTTTTGTATTACAAAATGGGGTGCATCATTTACATTATTGCAGAGGCTATTTCCCCCAAATAAAATAACGAGAAGAGCCTATTTTTGACATTGTCTTCTTGGTTATCATTTTGGGGGGCCGCACAGACCCGTCAGATTTTTAAGGGGGCTAAGCTATGCGAGCTAGCGGGTTCGCTTTGTCCATTTGTATACAGTCCATGGTCCTGATAAGTCCTTAAACTATGATACCATCCCAGAAATTGCATTCAATTTAGTTTCAGGATTTTATTCAGTCATAATTGTGTTTTTTACAAGCACCTTTCTTCAGTTAGACTGCAACATGTTTTATGTTTATTATAAAAGTACAGACTACACACTGTTGAGTTTTTGTATTGCAATGATTTCATGTTGTTGATGGTTATCAGGAGCTTTCGGTGTGAGCAGAGTGATATGCAATGTTTAGAGCAAAGCAAAGCCATAGAGAGAGAAGGATTTCTGTCAAACCAAACCACTGATTTTAAACTTCAGTCTTATGGTACAAGGCAAACATACCTCCAAATATACTGTTAGGTACAATATTTCTGAACTGTAACAACTTCTAAGCTGGAATAGACTCTTCTTTTCTCTGAAGCCTGTTAACGTCAGTATATTTGTAAAACTGCAAGTATCTGGTAAATCTCTGAGAATGAGAGTCATTACTGCTTTAGTAAGTAACGATTCTCTTTATTTGGAAAGTCAGTCACAAAGCACCCTACAATTTTCTGGGATAGTCATAGTTGGTCCATAATGAACACCATGTTTGAGCACCAGGTGCTGAGGCCGGAGGTCGATGATGGACTTTGTTGACGGTCAGTTGACAAACTTTCAACTCACACCTCCGGAAGAGGAGGAGAGTTTCTCCCAGGCCCCGGAGGAGGAGAAGAGCTTCTCCCAGGACCTGGAATAGGAGGGGGGCATTGAGTCTGAGTGGACCATGTGTTCCTCCTCTATCGCTGAAGCAGCAACTCGTAGATGTGGTTGCAAGGTCTCTGGTGCTGGTCCCGGCAGCAACCCTCCGAACCTGGAGGTGGACACCAGTAGTAAGGGATGCTGTCAGAATGAAGAAGGAGAGGCCAGCGTGACTAAAGGTCACGCTGGTAAAAAAATAAGGTAAAAAAATATTAAATTCAAAAGGCTATAAATCAAAAGTGATAAGAGATAGAGGGTTTCTGTAAATTAGAGAAATATTAAGGATGGCCAAAGTTTATTTGATTTGTTTTATTCGATATTAAAATAATGTTGTATTACATAATAGAGCAAGAAAATATATACGTGCTGGGGAAGAAAAAAAAGCCATAATGGTTTATACAGGATCTTCCCCATCTTAATTAACAAAAAATCATACAATAATAATAGTAAAATATAATGACAACATAATAATTGATTGCAAACCAATTATATATTAAATCATAGCAAAATTCAATATTGAAATAATATAGTTTAACACAAAGTCTATCGTAGTTTACAAAAACATCGCAAATAAGCGTGAGGTGAGGAAAAAAAAAATTAGGAATGAAATTAACTCATTCTATTTAACTTAGTATGATGGTGGTGGCAATCATGGATTATAGAATTTTCATGAATTTTTTTTTATGGCGTATGACACACACCACAGCTACATCGGCGTCATATGGAATTTTGTGACACAAGAAAAAAACAATGTCGGAATATATAAAGTTGATAGCTGGATCCAATGGGACTGAGCTTCACAACGAGGTATGGCATGACTGTATTGGTTCAGCTGAAGTTGGCTGGATGACACTTAAAGTACCATTTTACCCTTGTGCCTAGATAAAACTATACCCACATCTGAAGGGATTCTTATACAAAGACAATGATCTCAAGCAAGCAGCAGTCTTGGAGATATAAAATATAAACTTACATAAAAATTCACAAAAATGTCCATATTATTCCTGATCAGTGTGGTAAACTATGTTAACAGATGGACTGCAGTAAAACCCATATATCGACCCACAAGTAGAATCATTTCCAACGGCGAGAGGCAATTGTCAAAAAGTACAGTTAATAAAGTTATGATTTGATTGTCTAATGATTGAAAGCTGCAGATAGTTTGTAGATTGCTCCAAAAAGCAAGGACCACACATCGACATTCTTGATTATTTTCGATTATATTTGAAACAACAAAGACACTGGAATGTGTTTTCAGATCTACAGTAAGTGTTGCTCATTCCATATGAAATGACATCTTAAGACTTTTGATGGCGTCATCTTGCCCGATGGACTTCCATGGTTTTGGAATGTCTGCAGGTTTTGCTTCGTATATTTTTGCAAAGTGGTTATTGAACTTTGTCAAAACATATTTCCAGTAATCGGAGGCTTTAAGACTAGAATCTGCAGATATTTTCCAGTCAGGGAATATCTCTGTGTATCTCTTGTAACGGTGCCATTTCTCATCAGTGGCCGAACACCGAAAACTGCCATTACTTTGAACAAGAGTTGTGCATATGTCATATGTGAGTTTTTTTTTATAATAATGTGTGTATTGACCCAGCCCCTGTGACTGATGGAGAGAGGCCCAATGCTCTGTGTGACCTTTGCCTCCAGCTTCACATGGTGCTTTACAAAAGGGGCACTGCTGACCACACCCGATCATCCTGTCAGAAAGCTCTTGATGAGGCTTCAGACTCAGTTGTTTGAGTTTAGCTTTGACCTCTGTTTCCTCAAACGTGTTTTTTAGAGTCTGTATCATGTCAGACACACACTTGGTAAGCCAGTGTGAGAACTGTTCTTGATCAGCATTGTTTAAGATCATGAAAGCTCCCAGTGCATCTTGGGAAATCACCAGTTTATGCATTAGATCTTTGCACAAAACCTCAATAAATTCCTTTAAAGTGCCATTTTCTGTTGAGGCTTTCTTTATGGCACTAGTTATGTCTCCAAAGCATTTCTGAAGATGTTTATTCTCAAGTTCTGATATTTTTTCTTTGTTTGAAAAGTGTTCCACTATTTGCTGATGTATCCATTCCTTAACGAAGACCTCATAATACCAAATGTATTGATAATATCTTTCAAATTGCTCATTTGTGACGAGGTCCAGTAACACATGGTACTGGAAAGCTGTCCGTGTGCTGAACGTATGACAAGTCTGCATTTCACTGACGATGTCAGGCCGCAGAGAGCGACTCACGAAGCGTTCCACGGCAGGTTTCAGGCACAGATCTGTGAATTCATTTGCCTTTTTTTGACATTGGTCTTTTTCATTAAATACATCTTTGAAATCAGCACAAAACTTTTGTTTGTTTTTGTTCAGATGTACGAAAGGATCGTTTTCATGCAGAAAACGCTCATGCATTTCCTGAAACCTTCTGGCTGCATATCCACAGACGTGTAGTTTCAGTGAAACCTCACACTCCATGGTAATGTGAACATGACGATGACAATTCAACTTATCATCAATCATTCTGAGGATCTCTTGGATGTAGATGTCGTGATAATCTGTTCCCATTTCCACTTTTTCAGAGATAAACTCTTGGCAGACAGTAATAATGCCGTCTGCCAACTTTTGAGCAGCCTTTATATTATCCTCACGATAAAACCATTTGTAAACTGTATTTTTAATTTTTTCATATGAATCCACAGGTTTTACAACAAAATCCTCTAAACCACAATCCTGTAGTTTATTTTCTGAGACTAATTCATTTGCACAGCTGCCTCTGTGTGAGATATTTGCTCTTAGTTGGCGAGATATTTGTGCAAAAACATCTTTAGTTTTTGTGGAAGACACAGATTCCTTCATCTTCGTCACAATCGTCTCCCACATTCTGTTGAATTCTGCATCGAGCTCTTCATCCGTCAATGTGTGTTTTTCTTTTCTGCACTTGTCAATCAAAGCACACACTCTTTCTCCTAAGTCTTTTGTGTGGTTTTCTTTAACTTTGTCAACATTTTCCAGGCCTTGCTTGATTTCTGCAGTCGCTGTGAGCTGATTTATGACAGAGTTTTCCATTTCCCTTCGACACATTTTTGCACTGTTGAAAAATTGCTCCTTGTAACCTTCAACCAGATGAACATGTCCTTCTGTTTGCTTGAAGTAATCTTTGAGGTGATCAAGAAGAACTGTTTCCCATTTGCACAATTCTGTTTTAGCGTCTAGTTTTAGATCAGCAAGAACTTGGCCAATATCCGACTTTTCAGCCACTACGCCGATGTTGCAAATTTGTGTCTCTGCATTTGTAACCCAAGAAAACATGGACTTCTTAAACTCCCATTCCCATTTATTGTACTCTGTGCACAGTCTCGTGTATGCATCAGCCACAAGGCTGTTTCTGAAGCTGAAGATGAAGTTTTCATGCTTCACTGCGTTCCACAGACTTTTGATCCACTCACGAAACTCTATAATATTAATAGCAGTTGTTGCACAATTTGGTAAATTGTGCAGAACATTTTTCTTGAGTTCTTGGACTGCTTCACTGTATCCTACATTGACTGGGGCCATTGGGGGGATTCCATTCCACAGTCCAGGGATGTACCAGTTTCCAGTGTCGGGGTCATAGTCCATGACATCAGTGAAGCTCTTATTCTCTTCTTTTCTCTCCATCTTAGCTGCAGCTTGAGTCATCTCATTTAACTGCTGCAAGAGCAGTTTTCTGTCTCTGAGGTTCTTGTCATGAGCTGAAACATCTGAAACATTCTGGTGAACAAACTGACATCTGGGTTTTTTACCCACTTCTTTCATTCTGAGGAAAGCGTGCACAACTATCTGCAGGATGTCTTTCATGTCTGTAGAATTCTCCATAGCAATATTGATGATGGTGATGTCACTCAATCCAACCACAAGGGTTGCTAACTCGTTGTCGTGTTCGTGACTATCGTCCAGTTGAGCGAGTTCTGGAGACTTGAGGCCCTCTGTGTCGATGATCACTAAGAAGTCACAGTTGAGAGAAGCTTTCATATCTTCACTGACTCTGATGAGTAACATAAAGGCGCCTCTCGTGCATCGGCCACTGCTCACTGCAAACTTCACTCCAAACATGGTGTTGAGGAGAGTGGACTTCCCTGTGCTCTGGACTCCGAAGACTGTGATCACCCGAATCTTGTTGTTAGGAGACACCAGTTCATGGAGCTGGGTCAGAACATCACTCACCCATCTGAGAGGGATGTTGGAGGCATCTCCATCCACCAGCTCCAGAGGAAAACCATCAATCAGAAGCTGTGCACACAGTTTGGGAAGGTGCTGCAGCTGTTGGCGTGAACGGTCTTCTTCTGAAAGAGACAATGAAGCCTCGTAGAGTTGACCCATTTCCCTGAAGAAGTGTTCCGTTCCTAGTGAACTGTTGGAGAGTTGTGTGTCTATTGTTTTAATCTCTTCTTTGTTTCCTGAATCATTGCATTTTATTTTATATTGCTCCCTGAGGTCTGACAACTTTTCATGAGAAAGGTTGTCAAGGTTTATCCGAAGCCATTTCAAAAAGAAGGACCTTTCGATCCCAGGGCTTGATATCGCGCTGATGAAACAGTCCATTGCTTCTGTTATGTTATGAGAATTCTGTTCTTTTCTAATCGTTTGTTTTTGTGTTTGGAGGGAACTTTTGTAATGTTCAATGCTTTCAGTTTCTACTTTCCTGAGTCTACACTCTTCTTTTTCAATAGAAGTCAGGTCCCTCCAGAATCGTCCCTGCAGGGGCAGCTGCCTTTCTTTGAATTCAAGTATGTCTGCAATTTCAGAAGTTAATTTATCTGCCTCTTTTTTGGCCCTCTGACATTCAGGTTGGTTTTCATCAATATGTATTCCCAAATTAAATGTTATGTCAACCATTTTCACAATAGGTTTTTTAGTTGATGTCTTCCTAACAACATCAGTGACGGATTTTCTTAAGTCCTTGACAAAGTCTGCATCATTTTTAGATTTTTTCTTCAAAAGGATTCTATTCTTACCCAGACTAGAAGCTACTGTTTTTAGATTTTCTTTTTTAAACTGTTTGTTTTTCTCGTCAACCACTAAGTAGATCTTTTCTTTGTCTGTTTGGTTTGTTTTTTTCAGAAGGTCATGATCAAAATAAATATTGTCAGAAAAAATAAAAACCGCGGAAGACGCTTGACAGAGAAAGGCATACTGTGTTTCAAAGTTAGTAATATCCCCACGGAGGTTAACGACTGCCACTGGTTCATCAAAGATGTCAATGTTTTTATTCCCACAGGGAACGTACCAAGTAAGTTCAGCGAGTCCATTAGAGATTATTCTCGGGTTGTCGCCACACTGCATGTCGCGGTGCACAAAGGTGTCGTGGTATTGCTGGGAGTTGCTCAGGAGTTTGTTTAGAATCTCAGACTTGGACAAAGAGCATTCACCAAGTCTCATGAACGAGATCATTGGGATTTCAGAGTTTACGACACGTTCTTCTTTGAAGCCCTTGGATTCAGAGAGAGATTTAGGTCTGTACTTTTTGACAATGTCTCTCAAAGCCCACAGCATCAGTGTGCACTGGTTTGTGTCACAGTTTGGAAGCAGCAGAGGAACAGCAAACTGACACATGGACATTTTGAGTGACAGTTCCTGCTGCACAAAGCTATCAGAGCACAGAAACAGAGCTGTTATTATGTCAAGAGGGTTCAGTTTATCTGAATCTGCACTAACAAGAAGATCATCATGGGTGGTCTCTGTGCTTGAGTCGTCACTGTCTGAGTCGCTCACTGAGTCATGGTCAACGTTTCTCGCTGTTACATTTGCCATCATAAGTCTTTTCACAAAATACCAGACTGCATCCGTCTTAGACCTGACAGGTTCGTCTGTTGTAGCCTTGACATCGATCTGGAGAATTTCTGTCAACGATAACTTGTCCTTGTAGAGACGGATCAGCTTCAATTCTTCCAGAAATCTCTCCAGTTTGGAACCTGAGGAAACACACCCATCGTTGCATCGTACTAGTGCTGTACTGCCTGTTAAGTGTGGTGGGTGACACGTACAATTTCCGAACAAAAGAATAAGAAGAATAATGAACACTGCCGACCTGACCTCATATTTCATGCCAGTGTACAATAATTAGAAATAAGGTTAGAATGTGCAATATGGGACCACTGCTGCTGACATGTTTTTTTTTAGCGTCTGGGTTTTACATTGTCCAGTATGTTTTGAACTAAGCACATGGTTCAGCAGATGTTACACAAAGCAAAGAATGTAAGGAAAGTAAATAATACATATGACGCTCGAAGGAGTAGGCAGAAGCAAGAAGCTTATTAACGTCCACCCCCTTTCGCAAAGACATTTATCAGTCAAAATAAATGAGAGTAAATATTCAATAGACAAAACGTTCCAAGTGCCAAGGTATCCTTCAGGGGAAAACAAACAATCACAAAGATTACTGATTAACACCCTGGACTGCCATCTTAACGTGGTGGGGGAGTTTGAGTACTCGAATGATCCTGGGAGCTATATTGTCTGCGGCTTTATCAGGGTGACGAGTCAGACGAAGCGCAGTCCAAAACCCACCATGGATAGCACGCAGATAATAATTGTGATGTTGCCCAGCATGGCGCAGCCGAGGCCCCATCCTGGAAACACAACTGTGGTTGGGCTAGAAAGCGAGCATCTGGTGGCTGGGCCTTAGCCCAGGGGCACCCGGCCGGGCTCAGCTCGAATGGATGACGTGGGCAGAACCTCCTGTGGACCATCCACCCACAGAGGGACCCGTGGCGGGCAGGTGCAGCAGTCGAAGGCGAAGACCTCAAAGTCCCAGTCCACACACACAAAATCTGGCTCTTGGGACGTGGAACGTCACCTCACTGGGTGGGAAGGAGCCCGAGCTCGTGGCGGAGGTTGAGCATTACCGACTAGAGATAGTTGGCCTCACCTCCACACACAGCTTGGGCTCTGGAACTCAACTCCTTGAGAGGGGTTGGACGCTCCACTTTTCTGGTGTTTCTCCCGGGGATGCTTCCTGGGAGGGGTACTGGACGGTGCACCACCCGGGGACTCCGTTATTCTCCTGGGGGACTTCAACGTCCATGTGGGAAATACCAGTGACACTTGGAGAGGGGTGATCGGGAAGAACGCCCCCCCTGATCTGAACCCGAGCCGTGTTCAGTTGTTGCACAGTTTGTCCATCACGAACACCATGTTCGAGCACAAGGGTGTCCACCAGTGCACGTGGCACCAGGACACCCTAGGCCGGAGGTCGATGATCGACTTTGTTGTCGGATCATCTGACCTTCGACCGAGTGTCGCAGACACTTGGGTGAAGAGAGGGGCGGAGCTGTCAACCGATCATCACCTGGTCGTGAGTTGGATCCGCTGGCGGGGGAAGAAGCCGGTCAGACCTGGCAGACCCAAGTGTGTAGTGAGGGTCTGCTGGGAACGTCTCACTGAGCCCCCTGTCAGTCGGACCTTCAACTCACACCTCCGGGAGAGCTTCTCCCAGGTCCCGGCGAAGGAGGGGGACATAGAGTCTGAGTGGACCATGTTCTCAGCCTCTATCACCGATGCGGCGGCTCGTAGCTGTGGTTGCAAGGTCTCCGGTGCTGGTCCCGGCGGCAACCCCCGAACGTGGTGGTGAACACCGGTAGTAAGAAGGAGTCCTATCGAGCCATGATGGTTCGTGGCGAAGCTTGTCCATGGAGCATGACTATCATTCGGCCTCCAAGACATTCTGGCAAACCGTCTGCCGGCGCCTCAGGAGGGGGAAGCAGTTCTTTACCAACACCGTGTACGGTACGGTTGGAGAGCTGCTGACCTTGACGGGGGATATTGTTGGGCCGTGGAAGGAGTACTTCAAGGTTCTCCTCAATCTCCCTGTCATGTCCTCCGTTCTGGAGGCAGAGACTGAGGATGTTGGAGTGGATACTTCCTTCTCCCTGGCTGAAGTCACCAAGGTGGTTGGAAGCCTCCTTGGTGACAAGGCTCCAGGGGTGGATGAGATCCATCCATCCATCCATTTTCTTCCCCTTAATCCATTTCTGGGTCGGTGGGGCGGCAGTCAGGGCTGCACCTAGTTCACAGAGCACCAGCCCCTCACTGATCCTCCTGCAGGTGGTGAGTCCACAGGAGCCTTGATCTTTCAGTGGGGGCCTCAGGCATGGTGGATTGCCCAAGGACACAACGACAGCAGTCATCAGTGGGAGTCGTGAAGTAGGTCTTGTGGTGGGCTCGAACCCACAACCTTCAGGCCCAAAGGCCAATGCACTACAGTCCTGACTATCTAAAGTCTCTGGTTGTTGTAGGACTGCTTGGCTTACACGTCTCTGCGTGGTGATTTTAGGTGGTGCCAATGGAGTGGTACACCGGGGTGGTGGTCCCTCTCTACAAGAAGGGACCAATCCCGGCTTGGCTCTTTAAAGACACACTTCCTTTGATAATTGAGCCTATCTTAAATATAATAAACGCATCTATACAATGTGGCTATGTCCCACAAGCTTTTAAAACCGCTGTAATCAACTTCTTCTGAAGAGAACAAACCTGGATCCAGAACTACTTACAAGCTACAGACCGATCTCGAACCTTACTTTCATATCCAAAGGGTTAGGGTTATACTTGGTCAATGTAAATCAGAACTCGTTGCCTTATTCTTGAGTGGAATTCGCTGTGCCGCAGGGATCGGTACTCGGACCGATTCTTTTCACACTCTACATGGTGCCGTTAGGAAACATCATTAAAAAGCATGGAAATCACTTCCACTGCTATGCAGATGACACACAGCCATACCAGTTAAGGATCTAAAAACGTGGATGACTCCTAACTTCCTACTGCTTAATCCGGAGAAAACAGAAGTGATCCTACTCGGCCCAAAGCGCCTGCGTGACTCCCTTACTGACCAGATAATCTCTCTTGATAATGTCATTATTGTACCCAGCAGCACTGTGGGGAATCTTGAAGTCGTTTTTGACAAAGAACTCTCCTTCAAGACTGATGTTAGTCAAGTAATTAAAACGGCAAATTTCCACTCACCTAAAAGTGACGCGGAAAAACTGATCCACGCTTTTGTCACCTCAAGGCTTGACTACTGTAACGCTTTGCTGGCAGCATGCCCTAAAACCTCTTTGAAGAGCTTCCAGCTCGTTCAGAATACAGCAGCAAGGATCTTAACAGGTACCAAAAGGAGGAAGAATATACTGTGGCTGAGTTTATACTGAGACGCTGCGCAAACGTTTCCAGGCTATTAGCAGAAACGACCAGGCTCCTAATGGGAATAATTTCTCAGCGTTCATACTAGGTTGAAAAACGATGCAGTTCTAGCGCCCGGCCAGTAGTGGGCAGAGAAACTTTACAGCCCACACACGCAACCCCAGCCCCGTGCCCAGCCCCCCAACTGCGGAAGAACGCAACAACATCATTCTGCATTTTAACAGCAGCTGTGAAAATGGAAACTGAACACAGAGCTTCGCGTGGTCTCGTTTGGACGAACGAAGGAGTAGAATTACCCTCTGTGCCGCGCTGGAAGCCCACGAAGCTAGTTTGTGTGCCCGCCGCCAATGATGTTTATCTTTGTTACCTGCTACTGCGCATGTCCAAATTTACGTGCGGGGAGCAGCGGGAGGTGTGGGTCAGCTCAGGCAGGGAATTCACATCTTTTTCCCTCTCGCGGGTGTGAAATAGCCCCTGCTGAGCAGCGTATCTGAGCTGTCCCAATCTGCAAACTAGATCTGAACACTTTAGTTTTTACCCCCCTGGAACACAGTCTTCGTATGAACGGGGGGTAGAAACCGACATCCAACTATAGCGTTTTACTGCCACATTGTCTACGTGTAAACTGCCCCTGTAACTCTGGTGTTAACATTACTCCAGTGGCTCCCCGTGGAGCACAAAATAAAGTTTAAAATCCTTCTTTTAACATACTAAGCCATACATGGCTTGGCTTCTTCTAATCTTCAAGACACATTAGTGTCACAAAAACTCGCAAATCGGTTCTCTTAAACTCCGTTTTGGCTCGTGCACAAAAGTTTGGCATACCCAAATGTCTTTGCTAATTTAAAAACACATCTTACATCTCACATGCTTGTGTGATGCATCATTTTAAAGCTAGGCCCTTCTAGTTTATGTAAATATACACTGAAATAATGTATGTCATTCCTATTTCACTCTGCATCCTTTGAAGTCTTTTTTAGCCTCGCCTAAAAAATTCAATGTATAAATGACCTAAAAACGCCTACTTCATTGGAAGAATAAAATTAAATTTAAACGCCAATTTGTTCATTGTGTTGTTGACAACAACTGTGTAAAGTTTCAGACTTCTAAGTTTTATAGTTTTTATGCAGTTTCTTTTTTATCAAGTAGTGCCATTCGGAACCAACTGCTTTACTAACATTTCACCATCATAAAAAGGATATTTTTTAGTTTTGGTACTCATAAGTTACAAATCTGTGGGATTTTCTTTTACATTT